CATGAAGCAAAATTACTTTGCTGTGTCCTCTGACAGATTCTGGTAGTTTCACAATCAAAGCGTGGTTCCAATTGATTATCTGTTGTCGGTAGAGATCAGTATTAATGGTTTCACCTGTTTTTAGAAGCCCATAATACACCACACCTTCCTGATCCACCAAATGCAAAGCATTGTCTTCTTTCCGAAGCAATTTGGCCTTGCAATAGATGTTGATGGTTAACTTCGATCAACCCATGATTTTGTACATTTGGGATTCTCAAAATAAATCCACTTTTCATCGCCAGTCACAATTAGATGCAAAAAGACTTTCTTTTGTGCCAATGAAGCAACATTTTACTGATGACTTTTCGGTTTTCCATTTGTCTTTCATTCAGTTGATGTGGTACTCATTTTCCTTCCTTTAAAATCTTTCCCATTGCTTATAAACAATCAGAAATTGTTTGCTGAGCAATGTTTAATCTTCCTGCAAGTTGTTTTTGAGTTTGACACGCATCTTCATCCAATAATGCTTATAATTGTTGATCTTCAAACTTTTTGGTTGACTTGGACATTCTTTGTCTTTCACATCAAAATAATCACTTTTAAAACGTTTAAGCCAGCCTTCACAAGTATCTTGAGATGGAGCATGTTCACAGTAAGCTTCCTGAAGTATTCAGCAGTACTTTTCTTCAAAATAATAAATTAAAACTTCCCACAAATGCTCTTCTTTTTTGGCATGAAATTCTATATTTTTAAGTGTAAAAATGTCTATGATGTTAACACCTTCAGAAAATTTGACATATGAAGTTTTTAAGCTTGTTGTCAATACAACAAAATAACATACATATCAAATCGCATATATATCAACATGTGTAACTTCCATCTATTGAAAAAAAATCCGCATGAACCACTACACCTAGTAAAAGTCTAAGCAAAACCATCCGACCATTCAAAGTAGATATGATGCGCGATGACCACGAGGGGGCAGATTCTCAACGCAGGAACTGCCGAGCAATAGCAACTTTGCAGAATGCCCTCTCACACTCCAGGATCCCTCAGGGGATGTCGGACTGCCAGTTTGGCCCAATCCCCGCAGGCCAGGCCGAGGGACCCTGCTCACTCTGCAGATGCCCTTCAAGCCCCAGCACCTCCCCAGGTGTGGCTAGCCAGGAAGGGACCTCGGAAGGTTGGCTCAGGGCGTATCCGGCCCATCTTGCCCAGTCCCACCCCATAGGACACCTTCTAATTAATTTCCTTTCAATGTGCATGAATCTGTGCACCGGGCCTCTAGTACTATCTATAATGGTACCTCGTTTCCCCGAAAATAAGACAGTGTCTTATATTAATTTTTGCTCCCAAAGATGCGCTAGGTCTTATTTTCAGAGGATGTCTTATTTTTCTATGCGCTAGGTCTTATTTTCGGAGGATGTCTTATTTTCGGGGAAACACGGTATATATGTGTCATTATACATTTGTCCTAACCAATACAATGTACAACAAAAAGAGTGAATCTTAGCGTAAACTACAGATTTGGGGTGATGGTGATGTGTCGACGTAGATTCACCTATTGCAACAAATGTGTCATCTGGGGGGCACGCTGAGAGCCAGGGAGGCCTCCATGTGCAGGGGCAGGGATCCTAAGGGAACTCTGTACTTTCTAATCCATTTTGCTATGAACCTACAACTGCTTTAAAAATAGTTTATTGAAAAAAAAAATCAATCCAAGTAACCCACCATATATGTAAGAACAAATGTATATGATGTTAAGAGATGCAAAAAAAGCATTTGACAAAAATTCAGCACCCATTAATACTTTTGTTAATTCTCAGCAAACTGGTTACAGAAGACAAATTTCCTCATCAAATAAAGGACACTGATGCAAACACCTACAATTAACAGAACAATAGTGAAACATTGAATCCTTTCTTCTTAAGTTCAAGAATAAAGTAAGGATGTCTACTCTTGTGATACCCATTCAACACTGTGCTACAGAGGTGGAAACCAATGCAATAAGTTAAGATTAAAAAATAAAAGGTACAAAATCTGGAAGTGAAAAGGACCCTAAACTATCCCTATTCTCAGTGATTGTTTACTTAAAAAAAAAAAACAACCAAGAAAGTAGCAACCAAAACAACACAAAACTATTTTAAAATAAGTTTAGAAAATAAAGTCAGATACATAAATCAGTGTTGTATCTACATATTAGCAATATACTATTTGAATATAAAGTTGTTTTAAATATCACTTACCATAGCATAAAGCATAAAATACTTAGAACTAAATTTAACAAAATGTGAATAAGACCTGTGCACTAAAACAAAATATTCTTAAGAAAATTTAAAACAGACCTCAAAAAACAAAGAAATACCTTGTTCATGTACTGATAAGTAGATTCAACATTAAAATGCCAGATTGCCCAAAACTGACCTATAAATTTAATGCAAACTCACTTTCAATACCAGTAGACTGACAGAAACTGACACCCTGATTCTAAAATGTATACAATAGTGCAAAAGTCCCAGAACCTAAAACAATCTGAAAAAGAACAAAGTAGGAGAATTTACACTCACACTTCATTACATACTTTCAAGTTTATAGTAGAAAGCTACAGGACTCAAGATAATGTGGTATTGGCATTAGAGACAAAGAGATCAATGAAACAGAATAGAAAGAGCGGAAATAGATAAAAATGTAGTAAACTGTTTTTTACAAAGATGCTGAAGTAATTTAATAGAGGAAATACAGTCTTTTCAACAAATGTTGCTGAGACAACTAGACATCCAACACCATACATGGATTAATTTAAAGTAGACAACCAACCTAAACATAAGAGCTAAAACTACAGAGCTTTAAAAAAAAAAAAAAAAAAATTAGGTCACCAGGCCAGCATGGCTCAGTGGTTGAGCATTGACCTATGAACCAGGAAGTCACGGTTCGATTCCCAGTCAGGGCACATGCCTGGGTTGTAAGCTTGATCCCTGCTGGGGCATGGATGCAAGAGGCAGCTGATCAATGATATTCTCTCTCATTGATTTTCTCTATCTCTCTCTCCCTCTCCCTTCCTCTCTGAAATCAATAAAATATATTTTTAAAATAGGTCAATATGTCTAGGACCTAAATATAAATAAGAATTTCTTAGGGGGAACCCCTCCTCCCACCTAAAAAATACCCCCAGAAAATAATAAACCTAAGGGAAAAAATTGTACCATCAAAACTGAAAACACTCCTACAACAAAATAATAAAAAAGCAAATAACCCATTTTTTTTAAATAAGCAAAATACTTGAATACATACTTCACAAAGGAAGCTATAAGAATGGTGAGTAATTATGTTGATATATAATATAAATTCAAATAATAATGCAACTTAAAGACTATGAAACTCTATTATATACCCATTAGAATGGCTAAAATTACAAAGATGAACAACAGAATATATTGTTGGAACTGGGAAAAATGTAAAATGGTATAACCCCATTGTAGGAGTGCCAGTTTCTTTTAAATTTAAACATGACCAACCATTTAACCAAGGAAAATGAAAATCTATCTCCATAAAATGCATATAAGAATGTTCACAGTAGCCCTCGCAGATGTTTCAGTGGATAGTGCTGGCCTCTGGACTGAAGGCTCACAGGTTCGATTCTGGTCAAGGGCATCTGCCCGAGTTGGGGCTTAATCCCCAGAAGGGGGCGTGCAGGAGGCAGCCAATCGATGATTCTCTCTCATTGATGTTTCTAACTCTCTCTCCCTCTCCTTTCCTCTCTGAAATCAATAAAAATATATCTTAACAAAAAATTTTAAAGAGCAGAGCCCTGGCCAGTGTGGCTCAGTTGGTTGAGTATAATCCCATGCACCAAAAAGTCACCATTTCAATTTGCGATCAGAGCACATACCCAATTTGTGGGTTTCATCCCAAGTCAGGGTGCATACGGGAGGCAACAAATCAATGCTTCTCCCTCTCTCTTTTCCTCTTCCTCTCTTCTTCTCTCTCTAAAAAATCTATCTATCTATCTATCTACCTACCTACCTATATATATATATTTTAAAGAATAAGTAGAAACTGAAACACTGGGTCTAAAATGATCTATTCTATATAATAAAAGGTTAATATGCAAATGAACCAAATAGCAGAACTATTGGTTGCTATGACACGCACTGACCACCAGGGGGCAGATGCTCAATGCAGTGCGCTCCCTGTGGGAGCACAGTGTACTGGTGGTCAGTGTGCTCCCACAGGGGGAGCGCCACTCAGCCAGAAGCCAGGCTTATGGCTGGCTAGTGCAGCAGTGGTGGTGAGCCTTTCCTGTCTCCACGGCAGCACTAAACCATCAGTCAGACATCCTCTGAGGGCTCCCAGTCTGCAAGAGGTGCAGTCTGGGCTAAAGGACACCCCTCCCCCCCCCCCCGCCCTTAGTGTAGAAATTTCATGCACCGGGCCTTTAGTCTATATATAAAAGCCTATTATGTAAATTGCCCCCACTGGAATTTGACCAAGAGACCAATCGCTTGCTATGATATGTGCTGACCACCAGGAGCCAGTGCAGAATGAAGAAAGGTCGCTGGAAGTTGGAAAGAAGGCCCTGGCCTGCAGCCGAGAGGCCCTGATTCACCCTGATTGCCAGCCAGGCCTAAGGACCCTACCCTTGCACAAATTTTGTGCACTGGGCCTCTAATAAAAACATAAAGAGCCAAGAACAGAGGAGTAGAGGGAAGAAAGAAGTCAGAGTATATACACTACCAGATATCAAGACAAAGTAGAACTTAAGACAGTGTCATATTGGCACAAGGGGATACAAACAGATCAGCAGAACAGAGTCCAGAAACATACTCAATCTCACAAAGACACGTGAAGAACAGAAAATATCTAGGGGGAAATTCCATGTGTAAGTATTTTCACTCAAAACTTTAATATGTTTTCTGTTCAATCGTATCACAACAGAGTAAGAAATATTCCAGTTACAGTTTTTCAGACTGTATAAAATAGCTTCCGAAACAATTAGCAGGCCTTCTATAAATTCTTACCTCTCCAAAAGCTCCTCGACCGATCACTTTTAATATTTCAAAGTCTTCTCTATGTAATCGCATCTGTTTCACTTTAGAAGTAAATGGTTTAGCTGAAATAAAAAGCAACATCAATTACTTTCTTAATGAAATGTGATGTAATTAATACAAATAATGGTATTTCTTAAACAATAAGAATTCAAGTTATGATTAAGAATTAAGCCAAAATATTTAATAATTTCATCAAACTATATTGATAATAGATTTAATTTCCATGAGAAAATTATATATTTCCTTTATTTCTTATGAATTACATTTTGGTGAAGACAATTATCTTTAAACACCAAATAACGTATGAAATAATGCAAAATAACAAAAGAGGCCAGTTTATTCTCATGTTAATAAACATTCTATGTACTCTAACTCTCAATGCTAGATACATATCTTAACACAAAGGTCCAAGAAGCAAAAGCAAATTTCATGTCACCAGAGAGAATTCAGCAATTCCTACCAAATAAATTAATAATTATTTCATATTCATTTATCCCTTTAACATTCCTTTAGCAAGAATCCAAACTATATAAAGCATGGTGGCAAGCACCGGAATTTAAAAGAAGCATAGTACCTTCCTTCAGAAGTTCTGTCTTCGGGAAAGACAGACAGTATACTACACGCACAGTACCAATGTGATTAAGTTTCTAATACAGGGCCAGTGAAAGTGAAGCACTTATTATATTATGTGCATCTTAATACTTCACAGAAGTAATGTAAGAACTGGAACTTGAAGACTAAGTAAATTTTGCTACTTTGGTTGGTTTGCAGGGCAGACTTTGAATACTGTGTGAGGAATTTAGACATTATTCTATTAATTATAAGAAATAAATTGACATTTGTTTTTGTTGTTAATCCTCACCTGAGGATATTTTTTCCCACTGATTTTTAGAGAGAGTGAAAGGGGGAGGGAGAGAGAAACATCAATGTGAGAAACACAAATCGACTGGCTATGAGCCTGCAACCGGTATGTGCCCTTGACCAGAATTGAACCAGGGACCCCTTAGCCTGTGGGCCAACACTCCATCCACTGAGCAAACCAGCTAGAGCAGTGGACAAGTAGAGTAGCCACAGTTTGCCGCTCTGTTGACTAATGAGTTTGTCACTGGGCTGGAGCACCCACAGCTTTTTTAATCAACATGAATAAATTTCAAAAAGCACTTGGGAAAAAAGTCACAGAAATATAGTGATTTCATTTACACATAGTTTAAAAACAAGCAAAACTAAACATTCTATAGGAATACTTATAAAACTAAAAAGCAAATTTCATGGTGATGATTTATTCTTGAGGGAAAAGAGACACACAGGATTTTCTAAAATCCTGTTAAAATTCTTAAGCTGGATCAATGGTACAGGAATGTTAATTTTATTATCATCTTTTGAACTGTACGAAAGTTTTATGCACTCTTTTATACATTTAAATTCTCAAGGAAATTTTTTAAATGTGTATATGTGAATAAATCTATGTTCAACTTAATGAAAATGGTTAGTTCAAATTTTTGCTTATTGGCCAGAATCTTTTTACAGTTTACTTAATATTCTTTCAAGTCTGAGAAACTGGATATTCTTAATGTTTTTATTAAGCCTAACAATATAACTTTAATTTCAGTGATCAAGTAAAATAAAAACGACTGTGTAAAAAATGAACTGTGAACAACTACAGGAATATGAGAAACCATTACCAATATTATTATTCACACACACAAAAGTTCTTTGACGGCATGGTCCTAAGAAAATCTATAATAAAAGTGTAATATGCTAATTAGACCAGACAGCTGAACGACCTTCTGGATGTTATTTCAGACGTCCTTCCAGACTAAGCCAAGGCGGCAGGGACCAAGGCAGAGGCAGTTAGGGGTGAACAGGCAGGCAGCGAGAGGTGGTTAGGGGGTGATCAGGCAGGTGGGTGAGTAGCTAGGGGTGATCAGGCAGGCCGGCAAATGGTTAGGGGCGATCAGGCAGGCAGGCAGGAAGTTAGGGGCAATGATGCAGGCAGGCAGAGTTTGTTAGGGCTGATGAGGCAGGCAGGCAGGTGAGTGGTTAGGAACCAGTAATCCTGGATTGCAAGAGGGATGTCCAACTGCCAGTTGAGGCCTGATCCCGTGGGGATCTGCAGGAATCGAGCCTAAACTGGCAGTTGAACATCCCCTGAGGGATCCCGAATTATAAGAGAGGGTGCAGGCCAGGCTGGGACCCATGCATGAATTTCATGCACCAGGCCTCTAGTAAATAATAAATGACTGGTTGATTATAGTTCCTTTAGCCTATTACATGAAACAAGTAACTTGATCCTTCAAGTAAGATGATAATTTTATAACTACATTAGAGGCCTGGTGCATGAAATTTATGTACTGCGGGTCCCTCAGCCAAGCCTGCATCCTCTCTCAGTCCGGGAGCCCTTGAGGGATGTCCAACTGCTGCAGAGGTGGGAGATGCTCCCGCCACCGCTGTTACATTCACCAGCCGCGAGCCCCGCTCAGGGCTTCTGGCTGAGCAGTGCTCCCTCTATGAGAGCGCACTGATCACCAGGAGGCAGCTCCTGCAGTGAGCATCCGGCCCCTGGTGGTCAGTATGCGTCATAGTGACCAGTGGTTTTGCCTTCAGTCTATTTGCATAATATCCTTTTATTTTATAGGATAGTTCATAACCATTTTCCATTCACATTTTTAAGAAGCACTGCTCAAGAGTTTTTCACTACTCTACTTGTCCTCTGCTTCAACAGGACATACCTGGTGCCTCTTGGTCTTACTTCTGATTGCAACTAATCTAATCTAACATCACAATAAACTCAGAGCTACCCACCAGCTCTAATGAAGAGTCTAAAATGGGCCAAAGGAGGTAACTGAAGCAGATCTCATTAAGTGTCTCTATCAACTTAACTTGATCTTTGCCTCCCTTATCTTCAAGACAACCAACCACAAAATGTGTCTGATTCCTTGGATTAGTTACTCATTATCTGCTCAAAGATTACTGAGATATTGAAATTAGCAGAAGTGAGCAGGCAAAAATCTTAAAACAACTATTACAGACTAGAGGCCTGTGCACCAGTGGGGCCCTTGGCCTGCCCTGTAGGGATTGGGCCGAAATCAGTTGTCCAACATCCCCCGAGGGGTCCCGGGTTGTGAGAGGGCACAGACTAGGCTGAGGGACCCCACCAGTGCATGATCAGGGCGGGGCCAGGGAGGGATTGCAGGAGGGCTCCAGGGCATGTCCAGCCTGTCCCACCCAGTCCTGTCCCACCCAGTCCTGATTGGCCAAACCCTAGCAGCAAGCTAACCAACCAGTCAGAGCATTTGTCCTCTGGTGGACAGTGCACATTATAGCGACTGGTTGAACTTAGCATATTAGACTTTTATTACCGTATATAGGATAAGCTCAAAGAAAAAGAATCAATCAATTATCTGTCTTTTTAAAAAAGAACCAAATGGAAATTATAAAATTGGATGTGCTTCAAAATAAAATGAAAATAATGAGGAAAGAGCCCATGAACTTGAAAATATATCCAAAGAAATGAACAACCTAAAGTAAAAAGAACTTAAGGATGGACAGCCTCAGGCAATTATGCGACAACATCAAAGAGTAATTAGAATCTCAGAAGGGTAGGATAGAGAAAAACTGATTATGCATTACCGCCAAGTTCATTGGCAATATTTAACAAAAATGCTTCATACAAAGATATGTAAGAGAAAAGTCATAAATTCTATACACCAAAAGGCCATGTCAGTCACTTGGTGTGACTGAAATAATTTTGGATGTATGAGACAAATTGCAGAAAAACTTCATACTCGTTACAATAACTGAAAAAGACTTAATTATCACTATACTACTGCCCCTGACAAAAATCAAAATCATGTAAGGGACCAACTGGGCCTATTGTACTGCCAGGCAACTGCTATACCTGGGGACTTTTCACAAGGTATTGTACATACTATTTAATGAACAACACCTTGCCTTCTTTAGTGCTGACAGCTCAGTGTTCACGGGGCACGCACTTTCTGAGGGATCTGCCACACCATTTCCCTCAGTTTATCTGAAAACCTCCCTCCAACTGAAGGTGAAGTGTAATTGTGGGGCCTCACCTCACTAGCCAGAATAAAGTGAACTAGTGTGGAAAACTAACCAAAGCTATGGGAAAAAAGAATATAATACTGGACTCAGAAAAGTTAGTCTCTGCAATAAGTAACAATACCACTATGACACAGCTGGCTCGCCAATCAAGAAGTCATAATTTTATGTAAATTCTGACAACCTGTCCCAATTTCTCTCACTCTCACATTCACTACACTATTATTATCTTTTAAAAATATATTTTTATTGATTTTTTACAGAGAGGAAGAGATAGAGAGTTAGAAACATCGATGAGAGAGAATCATCGATCAGCTGCCTCTTGCACACCCCCTACTGGGGATGTGCCCGCAACCAAGGTAACATGCCCTTGACCAGAATCGAACCCGAGGCCTTTCAGTCCACAGGCTGACACTCTATCCACTGAGCCAAACCAGTTTCAGCAACTACATTATTATTATTATTATTCCTATTTCAAAAGAAGAAAAAACAGGTTCAGAACGGTAAAATAAATGGAAGATTACATTGCCAACAAGTGGCACAAATAGGATGTAGTTAAACTCTAATCTGTCAGGCTCCAAAGCCTTTCCAATATAGTAATATGCTGCCTCTTTCTCCCCAAAAGTTTTTTGGGAGAAATAAACTAAAAAACAGATACTAAACTTAACAGAATTAAATATGAAAGAACTCTAAGTTTTAAAAAACGATCTCTTTGAAACTTGAAAGAAAGCAAGTTTCCATCTGAGCCCCTGGTTCACTACACACTATCAAATGAATGGTTAAGTGAATGAATGATCCTAATAAAAGAGAAACATGCAAATTGACCACACCTTCGCTATACCCACAAGCCACGCCCACAAGCCAATTAGGGTGAGTATGCAAAATAACCCAACCAATATAGCAGTTAATTTGCATATTCAGGCACAGAGTGAAGACAGCGTAGAAAGAAGCCAATCAGCCAATCGCTGCATAAGGGAGCGAAGCTGTGGAGAAGCAA